AAATATTACGTTCTAAGATCCACAAGCTAATTATTTCTATTTGGCATAAGGAAAAATTGCCTGATCAGTGGAAGGAGTACCAGTTCACAAGAAGGGTGATAAAACTGCCTGTAGTAATTATTGGGTAATATCACTGCTACAAACTTCATACAAAATTTTTTCCAATATTCTTCTCTCAACCTTAAGTCCATACATAGATGAAATTATTGGGGATCATCAGTGTGGGTTTCGACGTAACAGATCAACTTCAGATCAGATCTTTTGCATTCATGATATGCTTCAGTATATGGGAGTATAATGAGACAGTACATCAGCTATTCATAGACTTCAAAAAGCCTATGATTCAGTTAGGAAGAAAGTATTGTAAAATATTCTGATAGATTTTGGGGTACCTATGAGAGTAGTTAGGCTGATTAAAATGCGTTTAAACGAAAAGTATAATAAAATCCATATAAGTAAATATTTGATAATTTTCATATCCAGAATGGTCTAAAACAAGGAGACGCTTTATCGCCACTCCTTTTCAACTTTGCCTTAGAATATGTCATTATGAATGTGCAGGAAAAACAGATGTGACTGAAATTAAATGGAGCCAATCAGCTGCTGGTCTATGGTGATGGTTTGAATCTAGGTATCATAAAGGAAAACATAGAGACTTTAAATGACGCTAGTAAGGAATTTGCTCTAGAAATAAACGCAGAGAAACTAAGTATATATTTCTGCCTCGTCACCAAAGTAAAGAACAATATTATGAGACAAAAGTGGTTAACAGACCCAATTGAAAATATGACAGAGTTCAAATATTTGAGGACGACAGTAACAGATAAAAATCTGATTTAGGATGAAATTAACAGGATGTTAGATTCGGGTAATGCTTGCTACAATTCAATTTTCTCGTTTTCTGTGTAAATACCTAAAAATTAGAATATAAATAACTATAATTTTGCTTGTGATACTGAATGGGTGTGAAACTTGGTCTCTGGTGTTAAAGAAGGAACATAGACTGAGGGTGTTTGAGAACAAGGTGTTGATGTGAATATTTGGACCGAAGAGAGATGAAGTGACGGGAGGTTGGAGAAAACTGCACAATGAGGAACTTCACAACTTGTACTCTTCTCCAGGTATAATTAGAATGGCCAAGTCAAGGAAGATGAGATTGGGAAGGGCAAGTAGCATGAATGGAAGAGAAGACGAATGCATATAGGATATTGGTGGGAAAGCCAAAAGGAAATAGACCACTGGGAAAACCAAGTCATAAGTGCGTGGACAATATTAAAATAGATCTAGTTCAGGACAGGGACTAGTGGAAGGCTCTTGTGATCATGGTAATGAGCCTTCTGGTTCCGCACATTTTGCAGCTTCAAAGGTTTGCTCAGCTCCATGAGTGAGCGAGTAACAAGCATAGATTTTTATAAATCATGAGAAAATGCAATTATCGGCCTAGGTCGATGTTTCTCTGCACAATTTCTGCACATATGCCAGATATCAGTTGCAAATTTAGAAACTAAAACTTGCGTTTTCTGAACTGATTGCCTTCTTAACACTTTCAGACCTAGAGGTAAACTGAAGGATGTGTTTGTTTGTGTGGGAAGAGGTGTTACTGAGAAAGACTTCATTTTTTACAAGGGAAACAGAAGATTTTCACAGCTACAGGTTCCAAGTGAGTGCCAGCCCCATGTACCGGCAAAGATAACTTAAAGAAGGGGTAAAGTGTTGGGAAGTGAAGAATATAAAGTAATGCAGGTGAAGTATTTAGAGATTGTGCAGAAGAGGAAAAGTGGTACAAGGAATCCTTACCGCATTAGGGAAGGAATGTCCATATTACCATTGGGACTACAGCAAAAGAATTATGAAATACAATGACAAGCATGAGTTATAATTTATAATTTGCTCTAGCACCGACGAAAATCACTGGCAGTTTTTACTGAGTTGGTCTGTCGCGCAGGACCTTCGGGACTTTCTGGCCACTCGTCCGGCATTCGCACACACGAAACGTAACGACAGCGCGTAGTATTATAACGCTACCTCTTGCTGTATCTTAAACGTAGGCGTATTATGCAGATTTGTATTACAGCAGCTTGTTTCACGCCTGTCCTTTCGGGTGCGTAACAGACAAACTTCATATTATAGTAACAGGAGGATAATAGAAGTTGGAAACAAACTTTTATCTGAGTCGCCTTCATAATATTTTAACCAGAGATGTTTGTGACATTCTAGAGCATTCAATTAAGTAATATTTAATTTTTCAGCTCCCACCTCAGAGAAAATATCGAGTCGATATCACTGAGATAAACCGATTAACATGATTTACGTTTATGGTCGCAGCTTGTTGTAAGACTATGTCCGGTTAGCAAATAAAAGGCTTTCGGACTTTGTCCATCGTCCGGTATTCTAGAAACTAAATAACATGACATTTCGGAAAATGGATATATTTCCGTCCTCAGATGATTGGGAGAGATACCTACTCTGCAGGTCCCTTAGGAGCTAACCTCAATCACTGGGCAACCACTGTCAGATTCACTATACCTATTTAATTATCTGAGACCAGGCTAATTTGAAAGAAGACAACAAGAAAATATGCAACAAAAATGTGATAAAGCCCGCACATGCATGAAGTAGGGTAGAAATGGAGGTAAAAATTTATGCTAGAAACCTAGCCCCCCCCCCAAATAAAGGCAAATGCATGAGCACCAATGCATAGAAAAAATAGAAAAATTTTGTGAAGGCATGTAATGAGGAAGGAAACAGATCCATTTTCCGAAACGCTGTGTTTTCTGTTCTCTAGAATACCGGACGATGGACAAAGTCCCAAAACCCAGTAATTCTCTGTTATACACCATTGTCAGAGCCCTTTAGAATCTATTAAGTCAGGAGTTCATTAATGTTACTGCAGGCTGGAATATTTTGGTCTGCTTTGGGCGTAGTAACCACTGCGCTTAGGCCGCGCCATAGCTCAAGCGGTTAGTCGCTGGCTTCCCACCGCGGCAACCCGGGTTCGATCCCGGGTCTGGTCAAGTGGGATTTGTGGTTGACAAAGTGGCGTTGGGGCAGGTTTTCTCCGAGTACTTCGGTTTCCCCTGCCAATCTTCATTCCACGAATTGCTCCATAATCACCCTCACCCATCATCTGGTACAATAGGCCAGAAGTGGCCGCAGTACAAGGGACTTAGTCCCACCCCACTAGCATTAAAAAACCCACTGTGCTTTAAGGAGTTAATACGATCGCTTCCTTATGTTTAATAGGCCTATAGTGATAGTCCTCAACAGAGCCTATCTACCTACTGTAGTACGGTAGATTACAAATTTTGATTGTACACACCAATGTTTACGCATGAAAACCAATTACAGTCATGTGATTCCATCGTACGTGACTCGGTCGGAAGAAGGGATTGGCCTGCAAATCTGCACTAGACTTGGCCCAAGCCAAAGTTGATCCGAAGCGGTCAATTTTTGCACTTCTAAGAAGTGATGTGTATTCTGAAGGGAGGTACTCGTGAACTGGAGAAAAAACTGAGTACAGACAAACGAATCTAACAGAAAGCGCTGTTCTGTTGGTATTCTATAAAAAAACATTATAAAGTCTGTACTCAAGCAAAAGGACCTAACTATGATATGCTGAAGTAGAAAAATGGGCAAGAAAACTGCTTCAAGATTTGTCTGTCTGTACAATTTCGTAACAAGAGGGAGATGTCCAGCAAAAAGTGCATCAATGTATGTATTTAGAGCCTATAGTTCTGACAGTAGAAATGTGCACACATGAGAATTTTGGAGTGAGAGAACTGACAAATTCTTTAATGACTTCTTGTAGCCTGTGACAAAACAACTTATATTTCAATGTTTATAGGCCTGTACGTCATCTGGATCCTGAAGTATTGTGAACCACAGCACACACAAACACAGGCCTAACGAAATTGACTCAAACATATCACAATCATTAGGAGTAAATGATAAGTTATCACCAACGAACTCCCTGGCACTACCCGCTTGAGGAGCCTAGTCACTCTGCCGGTCATGAAATTCCCTGCTTTTATGGAGCCTGAACATCCATCGCCATAACAATTACAGTGCTACGCTGAACCCTAATCCGAGCCAGTTTAATTCAGCCCACACTCTCTTCCTTTAACATTCTCTTAATATTAGGGTAGCCTATATCCCCCAGTCTCTTCTTCGCTTCGAAGTGTTTTCTTACTACATTCCGACCACATAATAATTTCACAAGATAAACTACGAAAATCATTCATATTCAAATGCATCTACAGTTTTTCTTTTAAAATTGAAGGAATTAGTACTATTTGCTCTGTTGAGGCCGCAAATTACAGCATTTATTATTTTAAATACATTACGCGGAAAAGTAATGTTTATTAGAAATAAAAGAGGATTTCTTTTAGATCATACTGGTTGCATGCTACATGGGCTATCCCATCGTAACTAGTAACCCCTGTGTTCGGGATATCGAATTAAGAGACTAGCAGAATTTGTGATGGTTTTGAGGTTATGATCTCTTGGGATGTCACACCGTGTAGTTTCTTGGAGAGGTAGGGGTACCAACGTTTCGGGAGAACCTGGTAACCCCGCCATGGTTTCCCATATCTACCTTCAGAGCAAAGATGTTGATAGACACCAACAACCCTAACTGCAAGAGATTCGTTACCTATGACGAAGGAGCGCGTTCAACCTGCGAGCACTGCACTAGTCCACAGAACCCAAGTTGCCGTCACTTACTGGCCTCGCACCAGTCTAGCATGCCGCTTCCCAAGCCCAACAAATTGATTACATTTAGCAGGCAGAGCTGGAATAGGCTACCTTCAGAATTGGGTTTAATTTGGGCGCGGCATTCCTAACTCAATTTAATCCCTTAGCTCGCCTATCAAAAGGGAAGCTCCTAATGAGAGAGAGAGACAGAGAAGGTATCTATCTCCCCGTAAACCCAAACAATTAGTGGGAATTTGCAAACTTGATGCCGAGGGAACCGCCCCCCTCTTTCTTGTGCCCCATCTCACCTCCGAGGCTCAGTCCTCCGGCGCTGACAGCAAGATTGTTCAGCATGGCTGCTGCTGCTGCAGCTGCGGACGTAGGCCCGGGCCTGAGGGTCAGAGAAGACAGAATCTTGTGGCCGGTGCTGTCACACTGGGTCGAGACACGACGCACTGACCGCTCGATTTCACCACGCACTGCCCCACATCACCTCAGCTGCAACGCTCAATTTTTGTTCCGAAGCTGCTGCTGCTCTTCACGGCCACCGAACTGATCGACTCCACTCTGGATTTTAATACAACAGAATCATGGAAGGTGCACAACTTTTGTCATCCACTGCCGCTCAGCCTTACCGGCCGAGTTTCAGGGGAGTGTACGTGACGCCGAGCCAATGAGACGGTGCGCTGCGGACAGCCCCTCCCACACACCAGTTCGTGGGCGGAGTGGTGGGAGGAGCTGAGGCACTGGGTCGCTTTGTTTGTACCAGGGCGCTGTAGTCGCTCTCACACACGGCCCGCCACTGATCACTTAGGCTACCCTGCGGTACACAGTCCGTACTTGCTTGCAGAGTGATGAAACCCTCAAAATTCATCCCCAGCTGAATCCAACCCATAACTCTCTTTTTTTAAATCCATTTCAATGTTGTTTTACAACCGAACGACACAGTGTCACAATGCAGTGGTAATATTCCTTCTTCATATCCGGGCAGTCCTAGGATCGAAACTTAGCCCGAAGACAGATTTTCGTAACGTTCATGATTTTCTTGTTACTCTAGGCACACCCCTGGGCAGTCCTTCAAATTAGGCCACAACCACTTCCCACCACACTCTTTTTAATTCTTTAGTTTTATTCACTATTCATCACATCATTCGAGGCTACGTCTATAGACCACAAGGCGCACTGGACTATTGATAACGTCGTTAAATAAATAAAATATCCATAAATTAGTCCAACATCCTACCACTTAGGCGTATAGCTACATTACAAAATTGTCTGCCCCAATGAGAATTCCCTACCAACACTATTTATAGGCATAATTTCTTCATACGTTCATGCGTGCTACATGGCTTGTCCCTCTTATTGTGGTCACAATAACAATCCTAGGTAGTATAGTAGATCTGTACAAAATACTGTCATGTGTATCAGTGACTATAGACGGGGTTCGGATTAGTAATTGGATTTATTTACCACTTATAGGTCATAATTACAAGTAATTATTATCCTCTTACCGATTTCTACTTTACAAATCACTCCACATTAATCTTCTCAGTCTATTTCCACTAGACTTCACTGTCCGTTTTCTGGCAACGGATTTATAACTTAGGAACTATAAAAGTCTAACCAAATTACACACTCCCAATATCACTGTACTACAGCACATATATAATCACACAATAAGTCTTCGCAGGCTGACTTCTAATTTTTCTTCAACAATTAGCTCCAGATATCACAATTCCAATTCTTTCTGTCGTACGCCATTGTATCCCCATTCTCTTGACGCTGTTGTTCCTTGAAACTTGCTTCCTTATATAGATTAGGGTCGGACCCCACTGAAAACACGTGTCACGTGTTAGAATACTTTGCGCGAACCACATACAAAGCACAGTCTCTATTGTTGAAACTCCTTTGTTGGGGTTCTCACGTGATTGCTACCAAGCCAGTTGACTGGCGCACTAGCTGCTGCCTGGCAACGGTCCCGTATTTTTGCCACGCGTTTAAGCGGGAATGTGTTTATCGCGCAGTTGCTTAACAGTGTGTATACATGTTACAATATCTTGTTTCTATATATATTACGAAAACTTTGACAAACCCGACGTAGCCTGCATTTTCATTTGGTTGAGAATTTGCACACATACACCTTTTTTACGCTATTTAAGGACGCCTTTAATATCCAGACTATAAGCGTCTGATGTTAAGGTAATAGATGCATGATTATGAACTGGAAAATATTTGTAATGTAGCGATCGTGTCCAAATCGAGGTACAATCCTGGAATTTTCTCAGAGAGACTGAGGAAAATCTCGAAAAGTAAGCCAGGATATTTGGTGCTGCCGTGATTCGAAACCGAGCACCTCTCGAATGGAAGCCTAGATTATTGCCTCCAGGCCGACCAGTTCAATCACTCGCATTGTTGTGTATCTATTACGTCGTTTAAAGGTTCCCAAACAGGTGCTTGCCGGAAGCTCTCCAAGTGGTCACAGGCGTAATCTGCATGCCTTCATTACACTTGTTCTCTTTGATACGTCTGTGAGTGCAGTATAATAACCTAATCGTCGTCAAACATTCCAACAGTACACAGCAAATTATCCTAATCATTTAACGATAGGGCCTACAGATTAACACAATGGTAAGGGGTTTGAAATTAATATGTTCTCATCTACCTAACTTACATTGCTTTAGGCTATAATAGATTGTTACAAACGTAACCGATTCCAGCGTACTACATCACAGAAGTATGTTCTGTATTTTAGTGTAGAACTGTAAATGTGGTTATGGTCTTGTCGCCAACAGGTTGATGAAACGTGGTTAGTCTAACATATGTCCACTTTAGAGAGAGAAAAAAAAAAACAGGTTGTAGAAGATTAATAACTTAACCTTTAAAAAAGAGTTGAAGATACTTCTGCATGAAAGGGCTATTTTCAAATTTTTAAAACCTCCACAATTAATCTATTTATTTAATTTAATGCAAGTATTTTAGTAGACAGAAAACATGAAACACGAGTTTCATAAACAAAGTGAAAATTGACGCTCAAATAATAAATTTCAATCCAGAAATTATACAAAATTGTGCAGGCGTCTAGAATCTCGGAGGAACCGGGATAGCTCAGTCGGTATAACGACTGGCTATGAGCTGGGCGTCTGAAGTGTCAGAGCTCGAGTCAGAGTTTATTGGTGCTCTGTTGCCTAACATCACGCAATAACATTCCTCCACTGAGACACATCTTCCATTGTTGCCTTGTGTGTATCCGCGGCGGGGTGTTTAACGGTCCGTTACCTAGCAACGCTCTGGCCATCCACGTTATATTACGTATTTAACGGCATTGTCGGATATTATGGTGTTAGCTATTTGGATTGAACGGCCGAGAGGTCGGAGTTCGAGTCCCGGAAGGGTAGGATTTTTGTCTTCTCCGCGTCCTCCAGACCGGCACTGTGGCCCACCAAACCAATATGTATAGCAAGTGTCACGTAACTTCGAACAAGGCCAAGAGTAATATTGAATGCGCAGAAGAAAATTTTCAGATAAAGGGGTGGGTTCGGGGGTGTGAGAAGTGACAGGCTGCCAGTTGTGCAAACAACTTCTTACTAATGTTGGGCCCCGAAATGATGTACGGCAACCAGTGTAGTGTGAACCTCTCGAAAAATTAAATTTTTATTCCAGGACGGCAGATCAAGGAATGACAATTTAGTAATGAAACTTCTAGAGGTGTACCACCTGATGACCCGTGAGGTCGAAACATTTAGGTCTACTGTGGTTTAATAAATATTAGTTTCTTTAATTTGTGTCGATTTTTATTTAAAGTAAAATTTAATTATATTAGTGTTGTTACTGAGAAAATGGGATGAAGGGTTTTAAAACTACGAATACTAACTGAACAGTCAGTACAGGGCCTGTGTGAATTTTAGAAGAATATCTTGCATGTGATGGAACTTGAATATTCATCACAGGAGCCACAAAACCTGGCGGAGGATCTTGTTCTAGTCCAATGAATTTCCTATCCTCTCCAGAATGTCCTAAGGTCCTGCCATACAGATCTACATTTCTATTATTTTTTCCTTTGGCGCTACAGCCCAAATTTGGGCCATTGCCTACCTCCAGGAAACTCTTCGTTTCACTTCGGTTTACTAGATATTAGAAATTCGGTAGGACTCCATGGGCGGGTGATCAGCTCGTCGCAGAGAAAAATGCACGCGCGCGCGCACACACACACACACACACACACATACACACACAAACACCAAACAACCATTCCCTGACTGGGATTGAAACCCACGATCGCGGCCTCCGAGCGGCCAGAAACAGTGCATGCCTTAAACCAGTGGGCTACCGTGACCGGCCATTTCTATTATTAATTGCTATATTTTCTTTTGCGGGGGCACACGGTAGCGTAGTTGGTTGAGGCGCTATGCTACAAGCAGGAAGTTCGCGGGTTCAAGTCACCATGAGGTCACTGAATTATTTTCAGTTTACCTAATCCTTTCAGCTGCACTATGGCCCTGGGGTCGACTCAGCCTCTAACAGAAATGAGAACCGGTAATCTTCCTGGGCGGTAAAGGGCTACCGTTGCGTAAGGCTGACCTTACCGTCATGTGTGGGCCGATTATCTAGAAAATGTGAGAACCTCAACGTCTCACAACCCTATGTGCCTCCAAGAGCTGTTACAGGGATAGCTTTACTTTTTTACTTTTAATTTTCTTTTGCGACTAAGATTTCATGCAGATTTCGTTGCTGCTACAAGTACACTTACTCGTTTCTTGTTTTTCTCATGCGTCTCACATTTCCGTCCTCTCAGTCTCCCATCATATCATTGGCTTTCAAACTCCAGGTGAAGAATTACACTATAAAGTTCTGAGTTATGTAACTTTATCCGTAAATATGAATCAGGACCGGGAACAACAAACTGCAACAAGGTCAAATAAAGCAAATAGGCTAACTATAGCTACTTTCTAACTAATAATCTTAAAGTGGTTCAAAATTATTTAGCTCTAAGCAGAAACTACAACTAAACACGGAAATCTGGGAGATTAAATAAGAATAAGAAATTTATGGAAACTAATTAACTCTTTAAATAACTAATTAACTTTATCAGAAGCTTCAAGTCCTTCAACTATCTAGTTAGTTAGTTATTGGAGAGGGTGGGTTTTCCCATACACTAAGACCTGTATTGGTCCATTGTGCTTCCCTCTATGATTTCTACCAGTCTCTATATCCTACCGGTACTGGTGCTTACCATCAGTCCCGCCCAGCCAGCGAGACCGGCTCTACTAGCTGAGAGGTATCTATAATGCTTCCCCCATCTACCAGAGGTATTAGAGACTGCTGTTGGGCGGGAAACGTCCGTTAATTTGGCTCAGTGACCTCCTTTGGAGATATGAGGTTCTTTTACGTGCCGTAAAGCTACGACACGGGACCCACGGCTTAAAGTCCCTCCCGGAGGACTTGTTCCCTGAATTTTTCCGCCCTTAAAAATTCGACGACCTCCGCTGTGTATTTGAACCCGCGTACTACGACTCATGAGGTGGGAACGTTACCTCTAGACTACGGAGGCCGCTTTTCAACAATCTAAGAGATTCCTTGC